GACTTGTCAGTAATGTCTAAATTATAATTTTTTTAGTTTTGGCCTTGAGTTCTAGTGCTATCATCACATTTTTTGGCCAAATTTTAAATTAATCAAAAAATATCCCATATTTGACATGGATATTTCTATTTGCATGTAAAATCCTTTGTAAAAGTTTCATGTAAAAAATACTTGTTAATAATGTATAAATTATAATTTGTTTTAGTTTTGGCCTCGAGGTCTAGGGGTATCATCACATTTTTTGGCCAAATTTTAAATTAATCAAAAAATATCCCATATTTGACATGGATATTTCTATTTGCATGTAAAATCCTTTGTAAAAGTTTCATGTCAAAAAGACTTGTCAGTAATGTATAAATTATAATTTTTTTAGTTTTGGCCTCGAGCTCTAGAGGTATCATCACATTTTTTGGCCAAATTTTAAATTCATCAAACAATTTCCCAAATTTGACAGGGATATTTCTATTTGCATGTAAAATCCTTTGTAAAAGTTAGATGTCAAAAAGACTTGCCAGTAATGTATAAATTATATTTTTTAGTTTTAGCCTCGAGCTCTAGGGGTATTATCACATTTTTGGCCAAATTTTAAATTCATCAAAAAAATTCCCAAATTCTAAAGGGATATTTCTATTTGCATCTAAAATCCTTTGTAAAAGTTTTATGTCAAAAAGACTTGTCAGTAATCTCTAGATTATAATTTTTTTAAGTTTTGGCCTTGAGCTCTAGGGGTATTATAACATTTTTGGGCCATATTTTAAATTCATCAAAAATTTGCCAAATTTGACATGGATATTTATATTTGCAAGTAAAATCCTTTCTATAAGTTTCAAGTCAAAAGGACTTGTCAGTAATCTCTAGATTATAATTTTTTTTAGTTTTGGCCTCGAGCCTAAGGGTACCATCACATTTTTTGGCCAAATTTTAAATTTATCAAAAAACTTGCCAAATTTGACATGGATACTTATATTTGGATGTAAAATGCTCTCTAAAAGTTTTATGTCAAAAAGACTTGTCAGTAATATCTACATTATAATTATTTTAGTTTTGGCCTCGAGCTCTAGGGGTACAATCATATTTTTTGGCCAATTTTTAAATTCATCAAAAAATTTCCCAAATTCTACATGGATATTTCTATTTGCATGTAAAATCCTTTGTAAAAGTTTCATGTAAAAAATACATGTCAATAATGTTTAAATTATAATTTTTTTTAGTTTTGGCCTCAAGCTCTAGGGGTACCATCACATTTTTTTGGGTCAAATTTTAAATTTATCAAAAAACTTTCCAAATTTGACATGGATACTTATATTTGGATGTAAAATCCTCTGTAAAAGTTTCATATCAAAAAGACTTGTCAGTAATGTCTACATTATAATTATTTTAGTTTTGGCCTCGAGCTCTAGGGGTACCATCACATTTTTTGGCCAAATTTTAAATTCATCAAAAAATTTCCCAAATTTAACATGGATATTTTTATTTGCATGTAAAATCCTTTGTAAAAGTTTGATGTCAAAAAGACTTTTCAGTAATGTATAAATTATATTTTTTTAGTTTTAGCCTCGAGCTTTAGGGGTATTATCACATTTTTTGGCCAAATTTTAAATTTATCCAAAAATTTCCCAAATTCTACATGGATATTTCTATTTGCATGTAAAATCCTTTGTAAAAGTTTCATGTCAAAAAGACTTGTCAGTAATGTTTAAATTATAATTTCTTTAGTTTTGCCCTCGAGGTCTAGGGGTATCATCACATTTTTTGGCCAAATTTTAAATTCATCAAAAAATATCCCAAATTTGACATGGATATTTCTATTTGCATGTAAAATCCTTTTAAAAATTTTTATGTCAAAAAGACTTGTCAGTAATGTATAAATTATAATTTTTTTAGTTTTGGCCTCGGGCTCTAGGGGTACCATCACATGGATAGTTCTATTTGCATGTAAAATCCTTTGTAAAAGTTAGATGTCAAAAAGACTTGCCAGTAATGTATAAATTATATTTTTTAGTTTTAGCCTCGAGCTCTAGGGGTATTATCACATTTTTGGCCAAATTTTAAATTCATCAAAAAAATTCCCAAATTCTAAAGGGATATTTCTATTTGCATCTAAAATGCTTTAAAAAAGTTTCATGTCCAAAAAACTTGTCAGTAATGTCTAAATTATAATTTTTTTAGTTTTGGCCTTGAACTCTAGGGGTATTATCACATTTTTTTGGCCAAATTTTAAATTAATCAAAAATTTGCCAAATTTGACATGGATATTTATATTTGCAAGTAAAATCCTTTCTAAAAGTTTCAAGTCAAAAAGACTTGTCAGTATTCTCTAGATTATAATTGTTTTAATTTTGGCCTCGAGCTCTAGGGCTACAATCATTTTTTTTGGCCAAATTTTAAATTTATCAAAAAACTTGGCAAATTTGACATGGATACTTATATTTGGATGTAAAATCCTCTGTAAAAGTTTCATGTCAAAAAGACTTGTTAGTAATTTTATAATTTATTTAGTTATGGCCTCGAGCTCTAGGGGTACCATCACATTTTTTTGGCCAAATTTTAAATTCATAAAAAATTTCCCAAATTTGACATGGATATTTCTATTTGCATGTAAAATCCTTTGTAAAAGTTTTATGTCAAAAAGTCTTGTCAGTAATATATAAATTATAATTTTTTTAGTTTTGACCTCAAGCTCTAGGGGTACTATCACATATTTTTTGGACAAATTTTAAATTCATCAAAAAATTTCCAAAATTTGGCCTCGAGCACTAGGGGTATTATCACATATTTTGGCCAAATTTTAAATTTATCAAAAAATTTCCGAAATTCGACATGGATATTTTTATTTGCATGTAAAATCTTTTGTAAAAGTTTCATGTCAAAAAGACTTGTCAGTAATGTCTAAATTATAATTTTTTAGTTTTGGCTTCGAGTTCTAGCGGTATCATCACATTATTTTTACCAAATTTTAAATTCATCAAAAAATTTCTCAAATTTGACATGGATATTTCTATTTGCATGTAAAATCCTTTGTAAAAGTTTCATGTCAAAAAGACTTATTAGTAATGTATAAATTATATTTTTTTAGTTTTAGCCTCGTGTTCTAGGGGTATTATAACATTTTTTGGTCAAATTTTAAATTAAGCAAAAAATTTCCCAAATTCTACACGGATATTTCTATTTGCATCTAAAATCATTTGTAAAAAAGTCATGTCAAAAAGACTTGTCAGTAATGTCTAAATTATAATTTTTTTAGTTTTGGCCTTGAGCTCTAGGGGTATTATCACATTTTTTGGCCAAATTTTAAATTTATCCAAAAATTTCCCAATATATATATATATATATATATATATATATATATATATATATATGTTAGAATAAGTGCCCTTCACTAGAGGGGGGGTGAATAGTGAGGCACGAGAATGTTTATAAATTTTCGCGGAATAAAAATCGTAGGAATAAAGTAAAGAACGTAAAAAGTAAAGAGCGTAAAAAAAGAATAAAGAGAGCACACCAAGATTTATACTGGTTCACCACAACGTGTGGCTAGTCCAGTCTCCCGAGAGACTCTCTCGAGCTACACTACTTCCGTTAAGTTTACGGGTGCTTAACAAACCGTTACAACCTGAGAACTCGAGTCCCACGAGTCTCAATACACTTGCTCGGAGATACCGCACTCCAAGACTTCAACTCGAAGGAATATGCCCTTCCTTCGTACAACCAAGGGAACAAACCTCCCTTAAAGTGTTCACAACACTTAACCACTCAAGAACAAAAACTCTCTTAAAGAGTAGAATATGAGTAAACTAATTTAGATCAAGAACACACTCAATTCCTCAAGAAATGGCTCTAAAAAGCTATGTAAAAAGTTTATGGAATGAT